GGAAACCCTAGAATCTTAATCTATTGAATATTCACCCATTGCTTAGCATTGTTTAATTTATTTAATTGTTTTAGTTTTGCTTTACTTAATTTTATAAACTCTCTTTTCAAGTATCCAAATAAAATTAGGGTTAATACAATTTCGGTAATTAGTAAACAATAATCCTCGTGGGACGATATTCTTATTCACTATTATATTACTTGATTGCGATAGCGTAGACTTGCGTTACGATTTTTCACAACAGCCATCAGCAATGGCTTCCTATTAAACATGGGATGAGAAAAAAAAAGTTTGATGGTATGGTTGAGAAATGACCTCCACCGGCTCAGAAATCTGTTCACCAAATCTTAGCTCAGTTACAAAATGTGCCCATCAAATTGCCTGGTAAACATTAAATGTATGGTGGTAAGAAGCGAAAAAGACATGCAAGCGAGCTTAATTGGACATATGTGAGCCCTTCCACGATGCTTGGAAGGACATTAGTGACGTGGACAAAAGGACAATTCAGAACCGGATGCTGGTATTTTTTTAATGAAATAATTTGTATAAGTTATACTATAGTTAACAATGCATTTTAACGATGTGAAACTGTTTTGCAAGAACTCGTTTAACGTGGACTATAACTACAAGAATGGCATTCTGAGGTCCATTGTTGATAGAGAGGCAGCAAAGTGCTACAAGGACTGGAAACGTTCCCTGCACGGCCACTATAAACGCTATGGTAGAGAAAGTCTCCCAAGTAACATGAGAAATCAACTTCATTGGGATCGTTGTTGCGATAGGTTCTCCGGCGACAAATTTCAAGTAATTATAGATTTGTTAGAACTTGATGATTTTTTATACATAATTTCAAGTAACTATTACTTATTATAGTTAATCATAAACAGAAAATATCAGAGACAAATAAACTAATCGCAGCAACCAAAAGTATCAAAGCTTACATGGTCAGATATTGTACTCTCAGCATCGCAATAAGAAGGTTAGTACTTATTTTTTGACTTCATTATCGTATTTATATGTTTGTGATTCTTGTTCTGGATGGCACATCTTGCAGCTATGGTGTGCCAAAATCTTTTAAAGTTATTTTTTTACAGGTTTTGATTTTTGGATCATATGAAAAATAAGTCGTTATGCTGCCGAAATTTAGTTAGAATTTAAGAATTTTAACAAATGTAATTTATTTGACAGGCCAGTACGGAGACCCAAGAGCCGATGTCTACCATAGACAATTGGGCGGACATGCATCGTCGTGGGGACTCTTGGGTTAATACCCATACGGAACATACTTTCGTAAGTATTTTTACTTTTCATATTATATTTTTTTATACTGAAATAGTGGTTTTCTAACACGTAAAAACAATTATAATGTCTTATTATGTAGAACACCTTGGAAAAGGAGAGACAAACGCAGAGAACACAGACTACCTCAAGCTCGACTAGACCCCCCCCCCCCCCCCCCCCCCCGCCCGCCCCGCG